TGAAACAAAGAATCCCTTCTAGGGTGAAAACAATCACTTAAGTGCTTAACTATTTTCCTATGATTAGTATTTGGAATTAGTAATGTATTGGCATGAGTCAGCCAGCCAGAGGGGTTCTGGACTAAACTGCAATCCCTGGCCCATTCTTCGGAGCATGCTGGCCCAGCTCTAGGTATGCTGACCGGCATGCCCATCAGCTTCAGTGCAGTGACCTTGACTACTGCATTTGCAAGGGCATTTTCTTTTACATGGTCAATCTCCCTTTTGATATCCTCTGCAATGAATTATAGTCACTTTTCTTTGGCACCCAGGCAACATTCTAACAAGCTCAAAATCTGAGCGATGTTGTATGGAAAAGCCCTTTGTGGTCCGGAGTCCCTACCCATTCCAAATTGCAGCATAAGCATGAAGCACTGAAAAGTCATACTTAGAATCAGTTTTCTAAATTGATTTCTAGTTTTATTTCATTGCAGTCAGAGAAGATGCTTGATACTACTTCAATTTTTTGAATGTTTATAGGCTTGTTTTGTTACCTAACATATGGTCTATCCTTGAGAATCACCCATGTGCTGAGGAGAATGTGTATTCTGCAGCTTTTGGATGAAATTTTCTGTAAATATCTATTAGGTTCATTTGTTCTATAGTGCAGATTAAGTCTGGTGTTTCTTTGTTAATTTTCTGTCAGGAAGGTCTATCCAATGACTAAAGTGGGGTGTTGAAGTGCCCAGCCATTATTGTATTGAGCTCTCTTTCTTTAGCGCTTTTAATATTTGCTTCATTTATCTAGGTGCTTTAGTGTTGGGTGCATATATATTTCCAATTATTATATTTTCTTGATGAATTGATCTTTTGTTATATAATGAAATATATTTATCTCCTCCTACAGTCTTTGGAAAAAGAAAAAATCTATTTTTGTCTAGTATAAGTATAGCTATTTCTGCTCTTTTTTGGTTTCTATTGGCATGGAATACCTTTTTTCCATCCTTTTAGGTCTAAATGTATCTTTATAGATAACGTATTTTTTGTAGATCACAGATTATTGTCTTGCTTTTCTATTCATTCGTCCACTATTTGTCTTTTGACTGGATTATTTTTATTTACATTCAATGTTATTATTGATAAGTAAGCACTTATTCCTGCCATTTTGTTGTCTTCTGATTGATTTTTGTCCTCTCTTTCCTTTTTCCTTTCTGCCTGTCTTCCTTTTAGTGAAGGTGATTTCTCTTGTAATATAATTTAATTTCTTGCTTTTTATTTTTTTATACATCTGTGGCACGCTTTTTGACTTAAAATTACCATGAAACTTGAAAATAATATAACATCAGTTTAAACTGCAGATAATTTAACACTGATTGCATAAACAAAGAAACAAGCAAAACAACTAATAATAACTCTACACTTTAACTTCATTGTCATTCTTTTAAACTTTTTGTTGTTTCTCTTCATTCCCTATTTTACTAGCTATGTCTTGGAAAGGCTTTTTTTTTGTTTGTTTGTTTATTGTTTACTCTTTCTGAGATTTTTGCACACCGTAATTACCATGTTATAGTATTCTGTGTGCTATTACTAGTGAGTTTTGTACCTTCAGATGATTTCTTATTTCACTAACGTTTTGTTTTCTTTCAGATTAAGAACTACCTTTAGCATTTCTTATAGAACAGGTCTGGTGTTAATGATTCCTCAGTTTTTGTTTGTCTGGAAAAGTTCTTATTTCTTCTTCAAGTTTAAAGGATGTTTTTGACAGATACATTATTCTAAAGTAAAAGTTTATTTTTTTTTTCAGCTCTTTAAATATGTCATGCCACTCTCTCAGCCTGCTTTCAGATGCATTGGAGTTTCACTGAATGTTATGTGTTTTTGTTCTCTCACTGCTTTTAGAATCATTTCTTTATCTTTAACCTTTGGCAGTTCAGTTAAGTGCCTTGAGGTGGTCTTCTTTGGGTTAAATCTGCGTGGTGTTTTGTAACCTTCTTGTACTCAAATGTTGATATCGAAGGTTGAGGAATTGTTTAATATTATTTAGTGAAATAAATGTTTAACTCTTATCTCTTTCTCTACTTTTCTTTAAGGCCAATAACTCTTAGATTTGCTATGTTGAGGCTGTTTTTCAGATTCTGTAGGCATGCTTTATTTTTTATCCTGTTTTCTTCTCCGACTTTGTATTTTCAAATAGTCTGACTTCAAGTTTACTAAATCTGTCTTCTCCTTGATCAATTATTTTAAGTAATTCTGATACATTCTTCAGTATGCCAATTGCATTTTAACTTCAGAATTTCTGCTGTTATTCTTTTTATTTCAATATCATTGTTAAATGTATCTGATAGAATTCTGAATTCCTTCTCTGTGTTATGTTGCATTTCTTTGAATTACCTCAAGCAACTATTTTCAATTGCCTGTATGAAAGGTGACATATCTCTTTTATTCCAGGATTTGTCCATGGTGCCTTATTTAGCATGTTTGGTGAGTTCTTGTGCTCTGGGATGGTCTTGATACTTGTAGATGTTCATCTGGATCTGGGCATTCAAGATTTCAGTCTTTATTGTAGTCTTCACAGACTGGGCTTGTTTGTGCCCATTATTTTTGGAAAAACTTTCCAGGTATTCAAAGAGACTTGGGCCCCAAACCCAGTAACACAGTAGTTTATACAAACAAATAGAGGTATTGCCTTGGTGGTCTTGGATTAACATCAAGAAAACTTATCTTGATTTATCAAGTAGAGACTTGTCCTCTTTCCTTACTTTCTCTCAAACCAGCAGTCTCTCTTTCTGTACTGAGGCATGTGGAGCTGGGATTGGGGTAACACAAGCACCTCTGCAACCACCATCACTGGTACTGTGCAGGTTCACACCTGAAGTAGGCACAGAACTTGGCCTCACCCAAAGCTCACTGTAATCAGTACTTGGCCACCATATAAACTTACTCAAAGTCCTAGGACTCTATGATTAATAAGTGGCAAAACCAGCCAGGTTTGTTTCTCTACCTCCAGGGTCGCAAGTTATTGTAGCCATGAGTGGGTCCATAGATGCTACCTGGGAGCCAGAGATTGAAGTATAAAATCTTTAATATTTACCTGCTCTTCTATTTTACCGTATCTAACCTGGCACTTAGGCCATAAGACAAAGAATTTTCTACTTTTCCTTCCCTCATCTGCAGGCAGAGGATCCTCTTCTATGGCTACCAAAACCTCTGGCCCTTGGAGGGGGTTCTGCCAGATCATCATCAATTTCTCACTTAAAGCCCAAGGACTCTTTAGTAAGCTTGTGATAAATTCTGCAATGTCTGGGACTCGACCTTTGGTGCAGGGAAAGTGCAGAAATGCTGACCAAGACCCTAGGCCTGGACTCAGAAACTCTAAGATTCTGCCTGCTGCTCTACTCCACTGTGGCTGAGCTGCTATATGAGGTGCAACACAGAATTTTCTTTACTTTACCCCTGCTTTTCTCAAACAGAAGAAGTATTTCACCACAGCTACCACAGCTGGAAATGTGCTGGGTCATACCTAAAGTTAGCACTTCTCAGAGCCCAATGCCTGGGTGAGAGAACAAGACTCCATTTCAAAAAAAAAAAAAAAAAAAAAAAAACAAAGAACAAAAAACAGACATTATTTTATGTACTATTACAATTACACTGCTGGCCAGGCATGGCGGCTCACACCAGTAATCCCAGAAGTTTGAGAGGCCGAGGCAGGCAGATCATCTGAGGCCAGGAGTTTGAGACCAGCCTGGCCAATATGGTGAAATTTCACCTCTACTAAAAATAGAATACTTAGCCAAGCATGGTGGGACACACTTGAATCCCAGCTGTTAGGGAGGTTGAGGCAGGAGAATGCTTGAACCTGGAAGGCAGAGGTTCCAATGAGCCAATATTGCACCATTGCACTCCAGCCTGAACGAAAGAACAAAACTCTTATCTCAAAAAAAAAAAAAAAAAAACAAAACCATACTGCCAATTAAACTGTGATTTTTCTCAGAAATAAATGTTATTGATGACTTTACTTCCATTAACACCACTGTAGGAGCCAAAGGAAAGCTTCCCTTTTGCCCTCTGAAGGGTCACTGAAAAGTCAACTGACAAAAGCCAAATTAATTGGACAAAGGGCATACAAATATTAACATGCACATGGGGAAGAACCAGAGTGATTATACTCAAGCCCCAAATGGAGTTCAGAAGCTTATATATCATCTTGAGGTTATAGAATGGGGGTTTGGATTGTGGCATAACAGGTTATGGGAGTGAAGAAGAGGATACCTGACTGACAACCATGGTCTTGTTATGTAACTGAAAGCTCACAGGTAGAAGTCCTTACAGAGAATAGATGGTACATGTTTCTTTCAGGCCTTTGCAAACCAACAATAAAATTCTAAACCCTCCAACCCACTGATGGACCCTGTGCTTGCCCAAAGGCATTCCAAAGTTAACCTGAAAAACTAGTTCAGGCCATAATGGGAAGTGAGGATTGGGAATGCCTCATTATACACTCCTCCCTTGAAATTCAGGCACAGCAAGCCAGCATTAAACAGAGATCTTAAGACTGACACAACAGTGTCAGACTCTTGTGCAGAGGCTTCTTCATCACCCTCAGGACACACAAGGTTCTGTTTCCACTGTAGAGTCCTCAGTTTACCTGTTCAACCTTTATCTTTTTTATTTCCCTAGCATTTTAGCTTACTGCTTTTTAAAAAAATTATTTATTATACTTTAAGTTCTGCGATACATGTGCAGAACATGCAGGCCTACTCCCTGAGCAGCACTTGGCCAGCGCACAAATTTCCCACATCCTGAAGTGGACACCAGCAGGGAACGCTTGAGCCAGGGCTCTGCTTAGATGGCGGCCACCCGCAGGACCCTGCAAGACATGCGCAGAGGTGAGGCGGAGCGCCGCCGTCACCAGCTGCGACTCTCCCAAAGGCCAACTCTGAGCACCCGGAAGCACCAGGCAAGCGGCCCGGAAGCAGAGGCGCCAGGGGCGGGGCCCACGCCTGGAGGTTTCGCCCCCGTCCCCTCGCATCGGTCCTGCAGCCGCCCTTGTCAAACGTGTTCCCGCCTCCTGTCTTCCGGAAAAGTACCCTCCTCCTGCCTTCCGGTCCGGCACCCGACTTCCGCCTTCTGGTCCAGCTGTGGACTGCGCCCCACCCCAGCCCGCGCCCCGCATGGCTGCGTCCCTGGCCGGACCTGTGGAGCTGGGCTTCGTGGAGTTGGCGCCGGCGTGGCGACTGCGCAGCGAGCAGTTCCCCAGCAAGGTAGGCGGGCGGCCGGCGTGGCTGGGCGCGTCCGGGCTGCCGGGGCCCGGGGCCCTGGCCTGCGCGCTGTGCGGCCGCCCGCTCTCCTTCCTGCTGCAGGTGTACGCGCCGCTGCCCGGCCGCGCCGACGCCTTCCACCGCGGCATCTTCCTTTTCTGCTGCCGCGAGCCGCCATGCTGTTCCGGCCTGCGAGGTGCGTGGCCCATTGGGGTCGGGATGGGGCCACGCGTCGTTGAAATTGCGGGAGTGACTGGGGTACATCGGAAAGCACCCCTGTCGCCGCATTCTCGGAGCTTCCTCTCCGCCCTGCCCCAGGAGCATCTTCTCCCGGGCCCTCCCAGGGTGTCCTCATTTTTGCTAAATTAGTTTCTGTGCCCTCGCGCGTTGGTAACCCCCAGCTTTGAATCGATGGGTACTAGGTATGGTGCTATTCAGATAATAGGAATTGTCTTGGAAAGATGGATCCCAGTAGCTTTTTCTTATTTTTGGCCGTCGGTCTTAATTATTAGTCTTATTAACTCGAACCGGCTCCAGGAGGCAACTATTGCGTGTACCAGAAAATACTCTAGTTTCTGGATTTTAAAAGCTTATTCCTGAAAGCAAAAACATTCATTTCTCTAAGAAAAAAAAAAACAACTTCTTTTATGTGTAGAGGTTCAGATATTTGAATTGCTGTTTTGTTTGACTGAAGATATAACTTTCTTTGCATTCTTTTTTAGTTTTTAGGAATCAGCTACCCAGGAAAAATGATTTTTATTCATATGAGCCACCGTCTGAGAATCCTCCCCCAGGAACCGAATCAGTGTGTCTCCAACTTAAGTCTGGTGCTCATCTATGCAGGGTTTGTGGCTGTTTAGGCCCCAAAACGTGTTCCAGATGCCACAAAGTGTATTACTGCAGCAAGGAGCATCAGACCCTAGACTGGAGACTGGGACATAAGCAGGCTTGTGCACAACCAGGTGAGTCATCTTTTTCTCAATTCAGTTTCATTGCTTTTGTCAACCAGATATTTGCAGGAAGCTTTAAAGTTAAAATTATGAAAGGTATAGTACTTAAGAATTTTTCCGGCCGGGCGTGGTGGCTCACGCCTGTAATCCCAGCACTTTGGGAGGCTGAGGCGGGTGGATCACGAGGTCGAGAGATTGAGACCATCCTGGTCAACATGGTGAAACCCCGTCTCTACTAAAAATACAAAAAAATTAGCTGGGCATGGTGGCGCGTGCCTGTAATCCCAGCTACTCAGGAGGCTGAGGCAGGAGAATTGTCTGAATCCAGGAGGCGGAGGTTGCGGTGAGCCGAGATGGCACCATTGCACTCCAGCCTGGGTAACAAGAGCGAAACTCCATCTCAAAAAAAAAAAAATTTTCCTAACTGGAACACCTTTGTAAAAAAGAGGCTCCGAAGTCTGAATCAGTGAGTAATATCACCATATAGGCATTTAATTTATGAACTTTTCTCTAAAATGCCACAACTACGTGTAATAATAGGGATAACTGTTACTATAGGGAATATGGTACTTTAGAGACAGCAAATTATTAGACTGTCTTCAAAACTAAATCATTACTAATAGTGCTGTCCTTTCTGTTTCAGATCATTTGGACCATGTAATTCCAGACCACAACTTCCTTTTTCCAGAATTTGAAATTGTAATAGAAACAGAAGATGAAATATTGCCTGAGGTTGTGGAAAAGGAAGATTACTCAGAGATTATAGGGAGTATGGGTAAGCAGTTTCAAGACTTCATAAGTGATTAAACATAATGCTTGGAAGAAAGGGCCCGATGTGTCTATAATAGAGAGGTACTGAGAGGAAGACTCTGGAGGCCGTAGCCTACAATTTTCAGATATTGCCTCAGGTGAAAATATACTTCCTGGACATTGTTTCCTGACATGTATCATGTGTGTTCTGCTCCCTATAAAGACAAGGGGCGGGGTACCCAGATAGTCCCATGAGTAGAGCTGCACAAGATGCTGGAGGCTTGATAAGTTCCTCTGGTTCCCAGATCTGTTTCTCAGGTCAGGATAGTATGAGTGCCTAGCACAGTGTCAGGCATGCAGAAGGGCCCCTTAAAAGTTTCTTTTTCACCTGGACAGTTTTAGATAACACAATTTTGTCAGTTTATCTACAGTGCATACTCTTGGATAGTGCTTATGCTGACCAACTATCTTAGAGGCTCATTTTATTATAGTAGCCAACATTTATCCAGCACTTATCTTATATAAAGGGTTGTTTGTGCATGGGCTCATTAAAATCCTGACAGCAGACCAGTAAGTCAGAAACTGCCCCATTTTGAAGGTGAGGAAATTGAGGTTCTGGGTATAACTTGCTTTGGTCACATAATGTTAAGTTTCACAATTTGAGCTTTGAGCCATACACAAAACCACCACAAAACTATAGACTCAAAATGAAAGCGTCATGTTACTGCTTTGTAGCTCATACCAGTCATACATTCCAAAACATGTTTGAGTCTTACTCTGTGCCTGACCTTGTGCTTGCTAATAGGGATATAATGGGAGTCAACACTCCAGTGGTCAGATGCTCAGTCTCATGGAGGAGCCCAAATAATACTTAGGGAAGTTAAATTCCATGTAATGACTGGTAAGAGTACAATACAGGTGCCATGGGAACACATGTGACATCACTGAAGACTGCCTGGAAGGGGTCACACGTGTGTGTTCATACCTATATGATAAAAATGATAAATAATGAAAATGCTTACCTATAGGAGAAGGGAAAGCCTAGAGTAGGAGGGTCAAGGATGAAAGCTGAACTTCAGATATGCCTTGTTTGTGTAAATTTGACTGTGGAACTGTGTATTTTAAGATTATAAAGTAAAATAAGTTTTAAAAAGCAGTCCCTAATCATCAGAAGTAAAAAAAACTCTTTATGTAGTCATATAACAACACTAAGAACTCTTCTAGGCGACTTCAAAACATAGGACAGTACCTCTCTAATGGAATATACCCTGAGAATAAAAAACATTAACACTGTTAGTATTTTCAGTAAACATGTTACTACTAGACTATTGCTGTTATTTTGAGATCGTTGTGTGTGTATTGGGCAGGATGAAGCAAATGAGTAATTATGAGAACTGAGGTGTTGTGTTGGGCATGGGAGGAAGACAATGTTGATGGTGTCTATATACCATTTCTCTCTAAAAGGAACTCCAGGCTCTTTGGAGAGGTGGTTGATTCCAGAACTGGGTCAGGAAATGTTCAAATATTGTGGGAACTTACCATATCAAAGATTAAGGAAGCTAGCAGTGATTACTAGGGCCATGTCGGAAGAACTCGTGCAACATGAAAAGGCTCCTGCTGGCAAAAGATGGATGGTTTGAACATCCATAAGGACACTACCTGCATCAGATATGTTTAATGGGTTCAAAATGATACTTCATCTTTGTAGAATATTTGGGAACAGATTCATTATTTTCAAATTGGTAACTAAAAGGAAAGAGTTTGCCTCCTAGGGGTACATAATTATGAATGAAGTGACATGTGTGGGATTAAGAATAACTGAGTTGGAAGTGGGAGAGAAAGGACACAGTGTACTTGATAGTGTGAAACTGATTAATGGTATGTGGTGGTTCATTATAGTCTTTCCACTTTTGTATATGTTCAAAATTTTCCAAAATAAAAGGGGAATTAAAAGAAAAAGAAAAATGCTTCCTGGAGGTAGCTATGTCTTACCTGAGACTTGAGTTTGAGTTCCCAGATGGAGGAGTTTGGCAGGAGGCAGCAGGGCCTGAGGGAAAAGCGTGTACAGTGTCCTAAAGGTTATACTGAAACTTTCCAGGTACACTTGATGAAACGTGAATCTGAAGGCATCCTACACTTCCTCCATCAGATCTGACGGTGCAAGTGACCACCACCGATGCCTTTCCAGTTTCACTAAAGCAGTTATTTTAGCTTCTCTGACTCAGGGTATATCAGCTATATTTTAATGTACATTACAAGCCTAATGGCTATACTTGGAGACACAGGTCTGTTGGGGACAGCAGTGGCTTAGAGTGGCTATAATACCAAGAAGGAATGTGGAGAAGGAAATGAACTTTTTTTGTTGTTTGGGGGCGGGGCGGGAGACAGACTTTTGCTCTGTTGCCCAGGCTGGAGTACAATGGCTCAACTCGCCTCACTGCAATCTCTGCCTCCTGGGTTCAAGTGATTCTCCTGCCTCAGCCTTTCAAGTAAATGGCATTACAGGCACCTGCCACCACGCCTGGTTAGTTTTCATATTTTTAGTACAGACAGGGTGGGTTTCACCATATTGGCTAGGCTGGTCTTGAGCTCCTGACTTCAGGTGATCCGCCCGCCTCAGCCTCCCAGAGTGCTGGGATTACAGGTGTGAGTCACCCTGCCTGGCCGGAAATGAACATTTGATGAGTGAGTGAGCAAGTGTACCAGCTGAGGATACCAGTGATAAGAAGGGCTCACATACGTTGGGTGTTCTATGATGTGCTGGGCAGTCCTAAGCCCTTGACTTGACCATTCTGTTATTTTGAAGCTTTAAAGAGATGTACTGAATGGAAGCCCATATAATAGAGCTGAATGGAGTACCTGGAAATTCAGATGGTACAACTTGAATGAGTAAATAAATAGGAAAGCTATCCGATTAAAAGTGAGTCCCCTCACCATGTGTGAACTGTCAAACTGTGAAGATTATTCCTGTTTTCCATCATAGTTATGTTGATTTTTCAGGTGAAACACTTGAGGAAGAACTGGATTCCATGGCAAAACATGAATCCAAGGAAGATAAAATTTTTCAGAAGTTTAAAACTCAGATAGCCCTTGAACCAGAACAGGTAAACACAAACTCCTCATTGTGTTCTCTTCAGGCCATATTTTATGAGTATAACCTCTGAGAAGAATTAACTTTTCATATTAACACTAGTCTGTTCCTTAGGAGCCTATAAAATCAGATTTTTGTTACCTTGTTAGAGGAGTTCCTCACACAGATGGCCATATGGATAGTTACTGAAAGACTAAAGGTTATACTGTTTATCATTCAGAGTTCATTTTCTAAAGAAAGCATCAGGGATGGGAGATGAATGAGATGTTGCCTATGGTACATGAGGTTTAGGCACCACTGGCCCCCAAAAAAGAAAAAAATGCTATTTGCCCTTTTCCAACAGGTACCTGTGGCTTGTAAAACAAATATGACCTGTTAACATTTTCTCCTTAACCTCCCTTACTATAAGCATAAATCATGAAAGAAAACTAAATTCCCGTAAACCAGTCACTGGATCAAATAAATACCCAGGGCTTTATAGGAAGAGTAGATCTAGGTCCTAAACACTGAGGCAGTTTTTAGCAATCTATATGCTTTTAGACAAAATACAGAAAACCACTCAGGTGCCACAGGAAGCTTACTACAGGGAAGTTTACCTATGTTTGTAGTCTTTTTCAAAACACTGTGTTTTACTTGGTATTTGTCCCTCCTCAAATTTTTAACTATGAAGGTAGCCACAGAAGGTAGGCAGAATTCTACAATCAGAACCTGATAATGGAGAAGCAAAGGCTCATTCTTACATGAGCAAAGGCTCACAATATATTCATAGTATTAAGATTCCAACATTAGGTAATAAAAGCATCAACTAGGAAATACATTTTTATGCCTCCTGAGTCAGATAAGCTGAAATAATCACTTTTAGGTGATTGAGAAGGCATTAATGGCACACTGCCACAGCCAGGTCTGATGGGGGAACTATGACATGCCTTTTGGGTCAGTGTTACATCAAGAGTGGGAATATTCATGGAGTTTCTCTAAATGATCATCAGATAGCATGTTACCATTGGAAACTTTTAGGTAAGGTATAATTATTTGAACATGATCCTCATTGATTTCAGATTCTCAGATATGGCAGAGGTATTACCCCCATCTGGATTTCTGGTGAAAATATTCCTCAAGAAAAGGATATTCCAGATTGCTCCTGTGGTGCCAAGAGAATATTTGAGTTCCAGGTATGACCTTAAATAAGGACCATTTTAGTGTGTAATCACCATGATTAATATTTTTAAACATTAAAACATTAAAAACTTTACCAAGGTAACGTGCACATGGGTCAACATGGCAGTACAGATGGTGCCCTATAATGAAAATCATCAGTTTCCTGCCTCACCTTGGGGCTAGTTTCCTGGAAGGAATTCTTTGTTTTTTGTTTCCTAGTTTTCAGACACTATCTGTTCACTGACTTCTGTGAAGATGAGGATACCTAGAGTGTCCTCCAACTCCAGTGTGGCTATGTCATTTTTAGTGCCTCTGTTAACTTTTATTTTAAATAATTTATGCCTTCCTTTCTAGTTCCATTAAATAAAGTCTTTTGACTCCATACTTTTAAGGGGGGGGGTCTTCAATATTTAATCTTGGTTTGTGGATTTGTTCAAAGAACAAATGGATATAAGCATTAAAGATAAATGTCGTTCCCTCTCCCTCCCCCGACCCACACACACAAAAGAATTTGTTGGCACCAAAATCCATTTGGGTAGGGTAGAAATGATCTTAAGCTATGGATTCACTAACCTTACCTAAGTCATAGCTAATACTGGATTTGTTTCTTTGGGTAAAAAGTAATTATGAAGACATCTAAAGCTATGCTTGGTTCTTAGTGCCAAAGCTCCCAACGTCCAAAATGAGATGGCAAGATTTGTATAGTGATTCTGTATCACAGTGTCATTACTAGTAATCAGTGTTTCTTCAGTCAAGATTAACAACATCTGCAATGATAAAAAGTAAAAGTTGCCCAAATAGAAGCCTCAGCCCTTTTGAATGGCATGTTAGTAATGAAAATAATTCGTTAACAGCCACTTGTGGACTTCTTTCTCAAATGGAAGACATACCAAACAGAAGGTCAGATGAGGTGGAGTGGGGCTTTGAAGTCATAAGGTAGTTTTAGATTGTTAAACATACTAATTGTATATTGTCTATAATCCTGTATGAGGATTGAAAGACCAGGATCCCTCTTACCATCCTGGCCAAGAAAGTCTCTTAAAAGTAGTGCTCCCTGCTGTGAAGCAGCATTCTAACTGTATGTCACCCTCTTCTCAGGTCATGCCTCAGCTCCTAAACTACCTGAAGGCTGACAGACTGGGCAAGAGCATTGACTGGGGCATCCTGGCTGTCTTCACCTGTGCTGAGAGCTGCAGTTTGGGTATTGGCTATACAGAAGAATTTGTGTGGAAGCAGGATGTAACAAATACACCGTAAGGGCATCTTAAAGCCTTCAGATATGTTAATAATCTTTTACACCTTGCAATTCCATTTCTGGGACTTTATCCTAAGGAAATATTTATGCCAAAAATAGAGGTGCAGAGATGTTGAGACATTGCTTACACAGTGTCTACATATTAGTGAAACAAAAGTGTCCAGTGACAGAGAATTAAATTTTGGTACATCCACAGTGGAAGGCTACAGAATCTTATTTATACACACATATATTGACAACTGAGATACCATTATAGGTGGTATTTATGGTATGACCCTATTGTAAAAATATTTGTACATGTATGTGTGCACAGAAATAAATCTGCAAAGATGTACACTTAGTGCACCGGTTACCTGTAAATGGTGGGACTAATGAAAATGATCTTTTTACTTACACAGGCATTTCTAAAGTAAAAATGGGTTACGTGCCTAATGAAGTTAAACCATCTCACTCTGAGAGCATTTCCCACCCTAAGTTTTTTAAAACACAAAGAACAATACTTAGGTAAAACCCCAACAAACTTGTCTGATCATCCTCTGATTGTCACAGGCTCTAGTATGTACTTGAAGCCCGTAACATCAGAAAAATACCAAACCTCCTTAGGTCGGTGAGTATGGTGTACAGGAAACCCAGTAATTCTGAAGCAACACTATCACAGCTGGCAGGATCAGGAACAAGAGTGGCTTTGTAATCACAAAGCTGGAATTTAAAGAGGCTCTCTACCTTCAGAACAGATCTTTGTCAGCCGGTGGCCTTGCTTACAGAGACACTGAAAGGAAAAGATGATGGTCTTCACTTTCCATGTCAGCATTGTACAGTTTCCTATCGCGTATACAACGGTTATGGTACATAAACCAGAGTAAGGATCTGGCCTAGGAGGCAGCAGCCTGAGGAAAGGAAGGCCCTGAAATCAGTTTTCAAAGGGCTGACCCTTGGCCTATTATGTTTATGATACACTTATTTAAGCAAGTGGCCCCTAAGACTGCGCTAAGGTTCCTTCCATCCCGCAGCAGCTCACGATTGGCAATTCCCAGTTTCTCTCAGCACCAGCGATGCCTGCCCTGAAGACACATTGCTGTCAGTGCTTGAATACTGACAGCCAATTCTGATAAATTTCTCAGGCCTATTTCTTTCATCTACATTGGCGCACATTGCCTCATAACACATGCCTGTTAATTCTGAAATGCATTGCCACCGTAAATCCTCACATTTTCATAGGTAACGTCAGCTACTGTAATTTAGAAAGTCCTGTCCTATTAGTCCATATTATGTATGTTTAAGTATATATACAGTTTGTATTAATTTTGAGTATGTGTGTGTATGTATATATAAGATACAGTTATACATAGCACCATATGAGAAACTGTAGTATGGAGTTTCTCCCATAGGGAGGTTTGATACTAGGCTACTTAAGAACTAGAGGATACTAGTTTCAAAACAGGGGTGGCTAAATTAATGAGAATCACCTGTAACTATGGTGTCAGTCTGTAGTTACTGGAGTAAGCTGTCATCAGCAACTGTGACAAGAGTTGGTCATAGCACTTAGTAGGAAGCACAGTGGTATAAGGAAACCTGGACTAGTGGGGCCTTCATATCTAAAATTATGTCTTATTCATTATAGATGGAATGTGTAAGTTATGACTGCTGAGGGCTTTCAAAGCAAACATGTTAGTCTTCTGTGGTAAAACTGTTATTTGGGGAGATCACCAGATGATAGGTACCCAGCCAGGCTGTCATTTATATATATTCCGGTCAACTTGTGGAGATGATCATAAAAGTTTACAGGGCCTTTCCAGGAACAGGTCTATTAAGAGGGAGACAGACTGGTCCAAATCAACATAAAGAAAATGTCACAGCACCAGCTTGGCATCTGTGTTAAAAAACAACTACTATATTAAAAAACTATACAACATAAAAAACTTTTTAAATGCATTAAGCAAGTTGCCTCTAGAAATGTGAAGACATTTTAAAACACTGTAAGATAACAACCAAGTCTCACCTACATAATCATGGCTCCACAGATGGTGCCAGTCCATGCATCCACCATTTCTCAACACCTAGGAAGTTTTAAGATCTGCTTGGTTCAGATACTGTCCAGCCACAGCAGCACTCCTCTGCTGTAGACAGCAGCATATTCAGCTTTGCCTTATTTCAGATATCACACACACACAAAAAAGTTAAGTGTTTTTGGCAATCATATTGATGATAGTATTTTTGTTACTCTTAAGAATGCTATGGTGGAGGTGGGATGATGGCGTGAGCCTAGGAGTTCAAGGCCAGCCTGGGCAACAGTTTAGCGACCTTGTTTCTACAAAAAGTTAAAAAAAAAAAAAATTAGCTGGATGTGTTGGTGTACATGGGGGGCTCAGGTGGATCACTTGAGCCCAGGAGTTTGAGACTGCAGCAAGCCATGATTGTGCTACTGCATTGCAGTCCGGGCAACAGAGCAAGACTGTGTCTCAGAAAATATTGCACAAATAACAGATAAAGTAACGATAAATACATAGATAAAGTAAATGAGTAATTATGAGATACTATCATCCCCTATGTCTTTAAGAATTAAGGATTCTCAGTGTAGAAGAGTGTATATATAATACAGAATCGGTTAAGTAAAAGCCCTATAAATTTTGAATATGAATTGGACATATTAATATAAACTCATATTAATATGAACTCATATTTTATCTTGCAAACTTAAAAAGTGAAAGGAGCAAGTATTTATCCTGCTATGTGGAGTACAACACTTTATAAAAGTATTCTAGTTACTAAATGAAAAACAAATGAAATGACTGACATGTCATTTTGCAACCCATTAATGAATTAATAGATCTAGGAATTATGCAGCAGATGCCAATTTGCAGGAAATACAGAGAATAAAGAAACTACATCATGAATTTCCAACTAGCAAACCCCAGACTATGAGAAGATCTACATACTAAATGGCCTATAAATTGGAAAGAAAAGAAATGGACGAAGAACTTCAATTACCTTTAAATGCGTAAGAGTCAGGATAATAGTTCCTACCTGAACGAAGCCAGAAGTGTGTGGCTGGATAGGACAGGCAGCAAAATTCTGTTTCTTGACCTGGGTGGTAGCTGCAAGCGTGTCTGCCTTTAAATAATATATTATGCTAAACATTTGTTAGGTTTTCTGTATATGTATCTACAACTGTAAGAGGTTTTTTTTTTTTAAGTAATGCACATTAAAGTCCTAGCCACTCACAGGAAAAGTACTGGAAAGGAAAACATAAAATTAACCATTTACAGATGCTGAGAACTTTCAATGCAATCAACTAAATCATGTAATCCCAGCACTTTGGGAGGCAGAGGTGGGAGGATCATGAGGTCAAGAGATCGAGATCATCCTGGCCAACATGGTGAAACCCCATCTCTGTTAAAAATACAAAAATTAGCTGGGCGTGGTGGCATGCACCTGTAGTCCCAGCTACTCGGGAAGCTGAGGCAGGAGAATTGCTTGAATCCAGAAGGCTTGAACCCAGGAGGTGGAGGCTGCAGAAAGCTGAGATTGTGCCACTGCACTCCAGCCTGGCACCTGGCAATGGAGCAAGACTGTCTCAAAAACAAAAACAAAAACAAAAAAAACTAAATCAGCAGTAATAGGAGTTCAGTAAACTTGGAATAAGAAAAATATATCAACAACAATAAATTTTGAAGTATTATGAAAAACTTCCATTAATAAAACAGAAATGATAATATTATACTTGGGATTAAGGAATTAACACGAAATATAAAAGCCCTGTGTGAAAAAAAGTATAAAACTTTACTGAGGAACATAGTACCTACAGACATTGAAGAGATATGTCTTTCTTGAATAGGAAATAATATTGAAATGATGTCTTTCCAATTAATCCACACATTATCTGCATCACTAATTTGGGTAATGGAAGAAAAGGGCACTTCATAAACCGTTCTCTTTGGACTACAATCTGATATTAATCGATTAAAACTTAGAATGTATAGTCTTTAGTTCCTCTTCTAGGAAAGTTTACTTCGTGAATACCTGCACTTATCCAAAAAGCACACATACAAGGATGTTCCCTGCAGCGCTGTTTATGATACTGAAAAATTGGAGGTCTTGTAAATGACCATAATTAAAGGAAGAGCTCAGTTAAGTGAAGGTACCTAGGAAGAGTATCCTAGATTCCCAGTCATGGAAATAGGTTTATGATATATTGATGCAAAAAAGGGAAAGTTGTAAAACTGAATGGATTCCTTTATCATTTTTTTTCCAAAAATGGGATCAAATGCCATGCCCAGAAAACAAAATTTGCACAGAACAGGGCTTAGAAGATACCCACTAATCTGGTCATTATCCTAGGGAAACAGGCAGAAGAGAAAGGAAGGAAGGACTTCCCCTTTCTGATTTTATTCCTGAGTTGTGTGAAGATGGACTTTTACAATTAAAAGGAAAAAAACAAACCACCCTAACAATAAAACCTAAGAACCCACAAATGTCCACCTGATATTTCACGAGGAAAAAAAAAAAAAAAAAAGTTACTGCAGAGAGATCACAGCCTGTGGATAGGGCACCAGCTTCCAAACCTGAAGGACTCACTCAGAGACCATTTTTACCACTTGACTAGCTGTGTAACTTCAGCCAGGTCCCTCAGCTGGGGCCTATATCTCCTCACTTCTAATAAAGGAACAAAACCTAACTGCAGCTTTGTGAGGATTCCAGGCACTGTATGCAAAGTACCTAGAAAACAACAGTTGCTCAAAATATGGGAGGTAGTAAATACACATTTCCCCAGCAACCTTGAGTTCTTAGATCATTAATGTGTTTTCACTGCAGCATACAATGAAATATTGACTGAATCAAACAAGCAAACACCAAAATGGTTTCAGATGTTATAACTAAAATACAACTTTTTAGAAAACAGTATGATCACATGACTCTTACAAGGTATCATAACAGCAATCTAACACTTTTATAAACTGCATTTATTGTACAGAGTACTCTGAAGAAAGAAAAAATATGTACAGCCATTCATTTTCATTAACACATGTATTCTGTCCTGCAATACTGGAGAGGCGGAATGTGTCTGGCACAGAAATAACCCCTAGGAGTTATAAAGTCAAAAAACAATACTTTTTAAAAAGATTTTTACTTTTCTGGTAGAAATATAAAAACTGTGGTTCATGGGGAAAAACATTAAAATTAAAAAGTCCAATCAATTGTAGAGGTGGCTTTAACACTTAAAAAGTTTTGTCCCTCAAACCAACTGTCAACAGCAGTGTTTAAAATTTATGTATAAATAAATGGGCAGCGCTGCCCAAATAGCAGCACAGTATGAGCGACTCACAGTCATGCTGCGTGGTGTTCTCAGTGCACAAATAATGCCCCTTCCCATTATCCCATGGTGGGCACTTACAGAAGGGCATCACCTGGTGCCACAACCTGCAACTCAGCATCCATCTCCTCACACCACCACCATGTAAAGGTACCAAAACCAACCGATTTGTTTTAAAAAAACAAGTGGGTGGGGGAGGCAAGGGTAGATGATAATCATTACGTCGTTTTCCTGAATCCCTTTAGAATAGGGTAGATGTTTTCAAATGCTTCATAAATTTCTGCTCTGACTTTAGCACCTAAGAAGACAAGTTGGAGTAGAAATAAGAGACTGAAATGGCATTTCTTAACATATTAAGAAGGGAAAATTATTACCTTAAAACAAAGCTGCAAGCACAAATCTCACCATACCCAGTCAGATTAAGGCACAGGCATGAAACCATTAATGGTGGAATCACCTGTCACAATCTTATTTTGGTTTATAAAACAATACTTTTAAATAGTCATTTTAGTGGCTCCACTGTCTCATTCTATAGCTCAAGAGGCATGTCCTCATACTTCTCTCCTTGGTCCTGAATCAGGCCATAAACCAAGCAGGACAGCAATGAAAACAACCGAATCTGATTTTCCCCATTGCTGCCTTCAACTAAGCTCTTTTCTGAATCGTCCTTTCTTGTCTCGTAATCATATTGCTGAAGAATCCTAAAGCTTCAAATAACTAATTCCAAGTGAAAACACCATCTTTTATTCAGTACAATGCTCACCTCCCCACTGTAAATGAAGTCTACTTGCAGGACTGTGATCAGACTTCCCTGCTCTCACTGTGCCTTCAGTGGGCGTGTTTCTCATCAGACTTTGGGTGGGAGGCCTTTGTAAAAGAAGCTAGCCCACTGTCCCAACAGTGAAATTTATTTTCAGCACTGACAAAATGCCACAACTTACAAACATTCAGATACTACTGCCTGTTACAACTTACCTGTTAATACAACTTTTCCAGAAACAAAAATAAGAAGAACAATTCTGGGTTTGATCATTCTGTAGATTAAACCAGGAAATAACTCAGGCTCATAACTGGAAGGAAAATTGCAAAAACAGTTTAGAAATTAAGAACCTTCCATGCTTTTAGATAAAATGAGGACCTATACAAGGAAAAATGCTGAATAAACAAGCAAACTAGTCAATAGGTAAAGCACAGTTCTTCAAGCAACATCAAGGACAGAATAATTAAAGCAACTGAGGCCGACTTGAAGTCATCACTTGATAACCACTGGATGGGAGGCTATTTGTCCTCTTAAACTTTACCCTATTTCTACTGAATCTGGATTTTCTGATTTAAGAAAAAGAGCCCTGTATTTATGTCTGCAGTCTTTCATGATAATCATTTACTTTTACAGTCCTAATAATTACTATTACAGTCCTAATAATCATTTACTTCTAAGATCTGATACTGACAGTTTAATTGGTAATCATTATCTCACCTTCTTAAATTGAAATATTCTCTAGCTGTTAACTGTGGTCAGGAAATTTAACCAAAGTGATATACTAGCCTGAGAATTAACTTAAACCTGATTAAGCTGTCTGATTGAATGGACTATTGGTGTGTGTGGGGATATATATCAAGAATTATAAGAATTATAAGAATTAAGAATCTCCTCCTGGTTTCAAGTGATTTTCCTGCTTTAACCTCCCGTGTAGCTGGGATTACAGCTGTGCACCACCACGTCCAGCTAATTTTGTATTTTTAGTAGACGCGGGTTTCACCATGTTGGCCAGGCTGGTCTTGAACTCCTGACCTCAAGTGATCTGCCTACCTCAGCCTCCCAAAGTGCTGGGATTACAGGTGTGAGCTACCACACCAGGCCTGGTACATATTCTTCTAAGCCA